GTTATGATAGTCTAGTACAAATGATTTATTACGAGTTAAAATGTAGTTGTGATAAAAAATCACAATATTTTTTTAGGTTTTACAATTATTATATTACAAAGTGATTTAGTTGTTATGACAGTTTTATAACCTCATAACTTTTCCTTAATTTTCAAAAATTGTCGTTGCATTGCAAGGAGTATGGTCACTTTTTGCAGCATAGTAAGTACAATTCTATTGCACTGGTTCGATGGAGTAAATCACTTTTCATTGGTTCAATTGATAATGTCGCCATGCCATTGAATACCCTAAAGGGTTTTTTTTTTTTTTTTTTTTTTTTTTTTTCTTCGGGGGGTTACAGGCTTACAATTTTGTTTCTCTTCTCCTGGAAAAATGATCGGTATCTGCAGGCTTGTAATTTCGTCTTTTGGACAGAATGTGCAAGTGACAGACACCATATCCGAAATCGTAGCACATCGTCTTATCAAGCCACGTTGGATTCAGTGCTGAATTTGATGGCACACTGTACGCCCCTTTGCTTTGCGATCGAATTATGCCGATACAACTCATGGAATGTGACGATCTCGCTGCAATCTCTTTCAGAAAACATTTTATAGACAAAGCATTCGATCGAGGTCTAGTGATAATGCAGTGTCTCAAATTGACAAAGTGCCGCCCCCACCAACGAATTCCAAACCATACTATCGACTCTCCTCTCACAACCGGACTGAAAAGCACTGGGATGTTTGGGATCGGCCACACTCTTCAGTCAGTCTCATCGATCAATCGTGGCAGCAACGGAGTTCATTCTCTTGGTTTGTAGGGGTAAGAGGTAGTGTTGTAAGCACGTGGGAGTATTAGAATTTTGAATTCTCGTTTAATGTGGTTTTCTTGTCAGGAGAATGCTACGAATTTAACATCTATAACAAAAAAATTCAAATAGACTTAGAAATTAATTAGGTTAGACTGTATTTGTGGGGTTTGACCCGCCTTAGCCAAGCTGGAGGTAACTAAAGAAAACAGGTCGAAAGGAGAAGGTATCAAAAGTTGCGAGCATCAGGTGTGCCTTCTGACATGAGCAGCTGCGATTTACCTGAATGGTCTTGAATCTTAGAAGTGCGTCAAATTGAGCGCGGGGCCTAGGAAAGCACCCATAAATTCCTCGACATTCGCCTACACGGCCACCAGGATCTTCACCAACGGGCTCCAGTTTCCGCTTCCCCTTCCTCCCATTTCCTTCCCCTTACCCCTCATGCATTGCCCTAAATCCAACTCTCTCGCTGCTGCAGTGGCATTAGGTTTGAAGCCTGAAACAAGAGTACAATATTCAGGAGTATGCTGAAGAATATGCCCCGCGGTGCATAGCCTGGGCTTGCAATGGAGTTATTTCCTCACCAGTTTCAACGACAACAAGTATTTCTGCAGTACTTGTTGAAAGATTGAAAGATGGAGCATCGACATAATGTGGGGGAATTCCACACGCAGGTTTCGTGAAGCAAGTCGATGCCTTGAGCAGTGTCCATCCGCAGCAATGAAGCACAATGACGGCCACGGATTTCGCAATGGAAATCCAGTGGTGAAGGAGATTGTCGATGTACGGGATGATTCGAGCTCTGACCCGAGAAGCAGGCAAAACAGCGTTGCTTGCTAGTCCTGATGTTAACTTTACTTGGCACTGTGTCCTTGTTTTGCACGTCCAGGTTCATGCACCCAGATCTCTATTCTCGACATCTTACTCGATTACGTAGCAATCTGAAACTAAGTATTTTGGACTCGAAACTCAGTGTTAATGCAGTAATTTTTAATGCACATTCAGTGAGAACGAGTTAGGTAGACACAACCTTTCTATTTGTGATTTCACAGAACAAGTACTCACCTTGCACTAGGTTTGACAAAAAAGGCACACAAGTCGCACTTGGTTTTGACAGGAATGGGACCTATTTAGTGTCTGGCTTCATCCTTGTATCTGGATTTGAACTATTTGCAACACCCATCTTGGTTTTGTTTAGCCAACTACTTGTCTGTAGCCCATGGTTGCAGGCAGACAGACATCTAGACAATATCCAAATCAATTAAAGTAATGTGAGATCTTAGTCTAAATTTAGTATTTGAGAAGATTGATGGCAGTTGTTTTTGGATTTTGGTAGCTTTAGTTTAATTTTGCATTCAATTCTGGCACAATAGATTATTTGTGTTATATTTATGCTTTGACCTTTCTCCTCTCAATGCTTATTTTTTTCTTCTTAGCCCTTTGAACTAATTCTATCTTAACTCTTGCCAAGGCCCCCTTGGCCTTTGCTCTCCTTGGCTCTAAGTTTTGAATTTTCTAAATTGGCAGACATGGGTAAGGATAGGCACATAAAAACTTTGTTAAAATTATTCACAATCCACTTACGGATGAAGAAATTTTTACCATGGTACCCAGTTAGTATCTTTTATAACCCTACTACTATTAATACTTTAACTTGTATACTTCATATGTTGCTTATCTATGTGTGTCTACACACATAGATATTAGGCAACAACCTAAAATGTTGTGATCAACTTGTTGACAAATGACCAATTGCTAAGACTTCCTAATATTGGTAAGAGAGGTGCAAGGTTAAGAATTTGAGATTTTAGAAAATAAAAAATAAAAAAAATCATAAAATCATTTATGAGTATTGAGACAAGATCAAGAATTTATTAAAATGTTCTAGTGAAAGAAGATATTTGGATTTTGGTTCATCTAATACTAGGTACTAATTGGGCACCTATTCTACAACCTTAGACTTTTATCCATCAAATGTGTTGTGGATGAATGTTTATATTAGATGTTCATCCAATACAATCATTTGAGTAGGTTCAAATCTTTTAGTGTTTGTGCTTATCTTGGTTATATATGCATGATGAGCCCAAGTGATGAAGCTCTGTATCCAAATGATAAAATTTAAGAAAGAATAATGGCCCCTACCTAATGCTAAGGTTAAAACTTAAGACCCCATGTGCCACAAAGTTTCCATTTATCACAAGCGTAATAATCTCTAATTCACGACTTTTTTTCAAAAATTAAAAATGCATGAAGAGTGTTGTATTTTTATCCAAATATCACCTCCTAAAGTGATTATAGAGTGACATTCATCCACAAATTTAAATTTGAAGATTGTTCTTCCAAAAAGATGAACAAAAGAAATGAAAAACTACTTATTGTCAAATTTAATGTGCTCTGTAATACATCAGTTTTTTGGGTTTGTGAAATTGACCACTATCAGTATCAAAGTATGCTAATGCCATTCTTGAAAACTCTAAAATTGAAGCTTGTATCTGATCACGAGTCTTCAAATGAGTGAGTTGGAAGATTGGAGTATTTATTATTATTATTATTATTATTGAGTGTAAAAAAATAATAAATATAAAAGATATTATGCTTTCTTCAAGCTGAGAAAAATCATTAAATGTTTACACTCCTATCGGTTGGTTCAACGCTGGGTGAACTGGCATCCATGCAGAGAAGGACTGATGTCTCTTTCAAGACACTGCTGGAATTCGTCCATAAAGTTGATGGTCTGACATGGAGATGATTTGGATTCAGGCTTGAGTGCTTCTAAACGCTACCTTCTTCTCGCAATGTTGTAATGTGAAAGGACATATCCGTGCTTTCAATTGGCTGTATTGAATTTAGCACTAAATGCCACAAATCGGGTGTGAGTTATTAGAAGCTCGTAACCAAAATCTCTCCATCAAACACAGCCTTACAAACTTTGGTCCAATATTAGACAACCAATCCTTAAAACCAGTTGTCGAAGCTATCTATCTGTAAATAGATGTTGGCACACTGTCTACCGCCACCTTGCAGAATTTTCCTTTTATTCCACGATGGGGGCACAATACCTTGATTTAGTTTAATCATTCGGCGTTGAGCAATTGGGTATTTGCACTCGAAGTCCTGGCATGATCAAATGACGGACATAACAGATAAAACCAGCCGCAATGGTGAGCGGTGGACATGGCCGACTATTCACACAACCACTCGATTTGCTCAGTTAGATTCAAGTTGACATGAATGAACAACGACGAACCTCCGGCAAAACATTAGTTAAACACAAGAGAAGATTACTGCAGTAGCTGGTAACTGCAGTAAGTCTCTCTGGAGCACGGACTGTGGGTCCAAGACATCAACCGAGGAGTCTCAAAAGACAGGATCTTGGCTTGGCGAGTCTGGCATCGGAAGGCATGAAAACACACACAAATACACACGGAGAAAGCCGAACTGTGTCGTCGTCTTCTTCGTCATCTTCTTCTTCTTTTCCCCTTGTAGCATCGAGGTGATTGACGACTTCTGCAACAAGCAGTTTCCGCAGCGCCGCCGCTTCCAAGATCCCTGCACATGGTCTGCCATTTCCTCATTCCTGTCCCTCCAGATTCCATCACCCTTCGTCGCTCGCCGCGGATTGACGCCGACAGACGCCTCATGGCGTCGCGTACGGCAACGCTTCACATGTCGCGACGGCTCTACGATTAATGAAATTTTTTTGGAGAGAAAGAAGTAATGAATGAATGAATAAATAATATTAAAGTATCAATGAGAATGATAATCGTGGCGAAAACTTTAAATTAACAGTATACATGCCAATTAATAGTAATAAGAACGGGTACTGGTGACCGTTCCTGACAACCCTCGTTCCGCTTGCAAACCAGATGGGAGAATCCAACAGCTGAGATGCTTCAGAATTGGCTGGCTTCATGCACCAGCCTCTGCTGCCGCTGCCGCTGCCGCTGTGACCACTACATAGCACAGCCAAATCCTGCAAGCCGCTGTGCATTTTACTATAGTAATTTGCCTTTTGAGAACATACAGTCACTCGGATCTCACCACCATTCCTGCGCGACAAGCGATTCATCTAGGTGGCTTTGGAGACTAAATTATAAAGCCCAATATTTGGAGCTCGTCGCCGTGTGTTGCATGTGCAGGATCCCCCAACGCCGTAACTTCTAGCCACCAGCTGAAATCCTGGATCGTCAGCTGACCAGCCTCCATTCAACGGATTGCCGTCATGGAAATCTCTGTCTGGCATTCGCAGGATGAGGGATGTTTAATCGATGGTGACACTCATACTAATGAAGGTGTGGTGTGAAGGGGTTACGCAGGGGGTGGTCCAGTCCGTGCATGAAAAAAAATCTGCGTCATTGTTACCATCGCAGAAAAAGTTTTCGAAAGTTCCTGTTCGAAAGGGATTCACGAGCCTGCTACAACGTCGAGAAGTTTCTGTGATTACTTAGTTTACCCACCTTGCGAGGCTCTGCGACGAATATATAGGGTAAGTAGTATCGGGAGAAATGAGCGAGGAAGCATGGGTTGCGTCTTGAAGCACCGTGCCCCCTTCTCCATGTTCATCCTTTCCTAGTTTCTCGGTGTTTTTGTTCAGTTCCTGCTGTGTAAGCTGTGCAAGCTTCAGCAGCCAAGGTTTACGACTGGCTGGTTGTTGACGTGGAATGCATGCATTTCGAATGTTTCTGCTACAGAAGCTGTATCACGTCGTCGATCGTATGTGTGGTCCGAAACACCATAGGCCAGTGATCAAGTCGCAGGAAGACTCCCCTGGGCTTTTTCCTTGTACCTGGTGGGTCGTGCTGTATCCCGAGCTTGAAATCGTTCTCCCGAGTGGAGGTCCCCCTAATTTGTGTTGCAGCTCCTGTTGCACACAGTGATCTTGCCTCCCGACTGCAGTTTTTGAAATTCGTTGATCAGTGTGAGCTTGTGGTGGAAACGTCCCCGACGTACACGTGAGGAAGCTAATTTCTTATCTGCTGAGCAGAGATTTGATTTTCAGTGAGTCCACGATATGTCTTGGGACGCGGTGCCGTATCTAGAATATTTAATCGAGGCCAAGAAAGACGAAGTTTCAACCAAGCACGAAGGTCTGTAAAGGATTGTTCACGGCCTGGACTCAAGAGACTAGAAATGCTTTCTGCACCTTGTCAGTTTTTCGCTTCCTGTGACATCCAATTGGAAGAGTTGTATGATCTATGCTAAAGGACTGAAGTCATCGAACCCCCCTTCGGAGTTGGTGAGGGAAAAATTGCTGCGACAGCTAATTTTTGAGGATGGGTTCAGAGGCAGAGAATTTCGGGGTGCAGGAGTCGAAGGAGGGAGCCCAGACTCTGATTCCCTCGTCTGTGGTTCCCTCGAAGTCTCATAGCATCCGAATCGTACATCTGGCGCTCGTAATTGTGCAGCTCGGCTATGCGGGCTTGCAAATGTTCTCCCGCGTCGCTTTAAACGCTGGCTTGAACCAGTTCTTGTTGTCCCTCTACCGGAATATGGTTGCCCTCGCCATTTTAGGACCAATCGCTTACTACTACGAAAGGTATACATGCCCCCATTTCTTCTCTCCATTTCGCATGACCTCCAAAGTTGCATTGCTCCGTCACCGTCACCTTACGAACTACGGTTTTCATCGTTTACTTGCAGAGAGATAAGACCGCCGATGAGCCTCAAAACCTTTGGAGGTTTAAATCTTCTCTCATTGACAGGGTAAGCCTACAATCTTCAGGGTGTTTGGCTTTCGGATTCCCTTCTCGTCAGTAGTGTAGCGATTCAGGAAGTTGAAGTGTGCTAAAATAACATGTTTTCACAGTTCACATAACTTCCCCCTGGCAGCCGTTTATCTGTTTTGTTAAGATGATCAGTGGCAGACCCGAATGGATGAGAAGGCAAGTTAGGTTGTTTCGATTTTTTGCTAGTGAGTTTGAGTTTTCTTTTCTTTCATTTGAACTGCATAATATTTTTCCAATCCTAACCCTTTGTGTATCGATTTGTGGTGGTCTTCGGATGTGTATCAAGCAGAGTAGTCGGTAGTCAACAGTTGTTTCTGGCAGGTCTGCAACTCACATCTCCCTTGATGGCTGCAGTGTCGCAGAACATGATTCCCGTGTTCACCTTCCTGCTTGCCGCTACACTCGGGTTTGAATCAAACCCTCTTAATTCGTACTTGCTTTTAACATTGCTCTATTTTCTCCCACTCCTGTACCCCGTTCTTTGCGATGAATTTATGCCAAGGCCCAGAGCTCAAGAGTCCTTCAAGCGAAGTGCAGATTTGAAGAAGTAAACATGCGACGTCGTGAAGGGATTGCGAAGGTGATCGGGACAGTAATCTGCATCGGCGGCGCCATAACCATGTCTGTATACAAAGGCATTGCTGTCTTTAATGGCGGCAGCGACATGCCCGAAGCCGACCTCAAGCTGCCCTTTGGCGATTTTGACGCATTTCTTCCCCACTATATCGTGCAATTTAGCGTGAACAAGTACCAACTCGGGATCGCCTTTCTCTTAATGAACTGCATCTCATGGAGTGTCTACCTTACTGCCCAAGTATAGCCATCCTCCTATACTGTCTCATTGGTTATGATGTGGTTTTTGGCAATTCACTGATTTTCTACAAACAAAAAAACAAGTTTTTCTTCTGTGTGTTCTTGAAGTATAGAGGGATCTTAATTGTCTTTTCCACTTGTCTCTCTATAGGGTTCAATTTTGCGCTTGTACCCAGCTCTTCTGAGCATGACGGCTGCCACATACTTCTTCGGCATTCTTCAATTGGGTGTTGTTGCCGTTGCGAGCACAGGCAGGCTCCATTTCGCGGAGTTTTCACTCACATCCTGGCAACAGATTGTTGGCGTATTGTATGCGGTAAGTGGCACATGAAGGTCATGATCTAGAAATTGACTCTAGCAATTCCCCTCATCAGATTTTGAAAATGTGAGCGAATCTCCACCTGGGGATTTGTGATATTCTCATCTTATGAATCACCCCATGCCACGCCTTCGTAAACTTGTAATGGATGCGATAGCTCGGTCTCTCTTTTTCGCAAGTTCAGTATCCGCAGGGAATTGTTCAAGATTGTAGTCAGTGTCTACATGTAGGGCTGACGCGGTCAGGTTGCTTGCACATGGATCCAGGGATTGATCGCTTCGACGATTAATTTGCTGCTACAGACGTGGTGCGTGCAGAAGGGAGGCCCGTTCATTGTCTCCCTGTATGTTCCCTTGCAGATGCTGATGGTGGCTGTCTTGTCGGTGCTGCTGCTTCAGGATACTCTCTACATGGGAATGTAAACTCCATCATATCGACACAACTCCATCTCTCACTGATTCTTTCCATGTGTTTGGGACATTCTCTTGATTCCCTCGCCTAACAGCTTGAGGAATGCTTGTTCCGTTACAGAGTGCTGGGAGGCTTGCTGACAGTAGCTGGGTTCTACCTCGTAGTATGGGGCCAAGGGCTGGAGCGACGACGTAAGCGTAGCCTGCTTGCACAACTCCTCGAACCTGAGCACGATATCTACAAAGTGGGCATCCGGAAATTGTCACTGGACCTCAAGGAACGCCTCATAGCCAACTAAGACATCCAGCGGCAAATTTTGCACTTATTTCCACCATTTTCTACTGTTTTCTTTCTGTCTTTGGAGCGACTATCCTTCATCACATCGTGTATTACATATTAACGTTACTATATAGTGATTGAGCAAAGGACTAGTATTGGGGGAAATATTCAGTATAGTACACTAGTTTCCAATATAGAATACTATCTACTTAATTGTGACCTTACACCTAAGTTGTTTCCAACATGGTATCAGAGCTATAGAAATTTTTGATCCTTATAAAGCTTTAAAAAATGATTTATCTAGAAAAAAATTGCTGAAAATACAAACTAGATTGTAATGACAACAATAATATAATCTACTATAATAGGAAAGGTTGATGAAGAACTTGAAGTTCTTCAAATCATGAGAATCAATTCTAAATGTAAAAAAGGTAAAATTGAATTGATTAAGAATAATTTAATAAATAATTTCAATTCAACTTGAAACTAAGAGTATTGAAGATGACACAGAAAGTAGACATCAATCATGTTCCAAAATTTGATGGTTCATATTTTAATACATGGAAACATAGATTAACACTAGTTTTTAAGATTGAAAAGTTATGGTCCATAGTAAGTAGTGAAGAATGCTTACTAGTAGAACCAACAGCACGTGAAGTTGCTGCCAGAATTCCAGCTTTACCTACTATAGGAGTAGGGAGTATTTAGTGCATGGGTAGACAAGGATACCTTGTCTATAACCATAATCAACAATTACCTAGAAAACAACATTGTTTCACATATACAATCTTATACATCAATAAATTTAGTATGGCAAGAACTAATAAAAATATTTGAATCACATGATGCAGTAACTAAGATGTATTTAAAAGATAAATTATATACTTTAAAAATAATTTAACATTTGATAATAATTCAACCCTATATGTAGGCAAGAAATTTTAGAATAACAATAAGAAAACTTATTTTAATAAGAATTTTAGAAGTAGTCTGCAAGAAGATAGTAGTATCTCCAAGCCACATGAAAAGAGCAATTTTGCTATTGTCAATAAGTGTTTTTTTTGCAAGAATAAACTATATGTGGCAGCACTTATAGTTAAAGAAAACTCAAAATTCAATATGGCATGTGGACTCGATAACAACTCAACATATATATCATGAATTAGCAAGATTTGTCAAATACATCAAAAATGAAGACAAACAAGTTGTCTATTTAGGAGACAATACTACAACATACATCATAGAAGGATATGGTGATGTAAATTTCAAACTCATAAATGGTGATGAGAAGATTATACTTGATGTATTACATATACTAGGACTTGCAAAAAATTTATTCTCTACCAAATAATTAGATAAGGCAAGAAGAGAAATTTACATAAGAGTTGGAACAACTACATTAATCAATAAATTTGATAACACCATTGCAATCTGCAAATTAAATCCTGATTTATATGAATTAGGTACAACAATACTTTTAAACAAGCTTCAAATTGTAATTCCAACAACAACATAATTCAATAAAGCTGATTTGTGGCACCTAAGACAAAAACACATAAATCAACAAAGATTCAAATAAATACATACAATGGCAAAAAGAATTGTCTTCTTTGATAAAAAGAAAATTACCTTATGTCAATCTTGCATAGAAGGTAAACAACATAAGGAGAAGTTTCCTGTAGAAGGTACATAAAGAGCTATCCAATTGTTAGAACTTGTACATTCTGAAATTTATAGTCCTATACAAGAAGGATGTACTTACTTTATCACATTTATTGATGATCAAACAAAATATTGTTAAGTATATTTGATGAAACAAAATCTGAAGCATTTGAAAAATTCACCTTATATAAAATTTTTGTGGAAAAACAAACAAGTTTCAAAATGAAAACCTTAAGATCTGATTGGAGGTGAATATAAATCAAATGAATTTAAAGATTTATATAACAAAGAAGGAATCAAATAAGAATACACTATAGCTTATACACCATAATAAAATGGTGTTTCTAAAAGGAAAAATAAAACATTAATAAGAATAGTTCTCACAATGCTATCCTATTCAAACTTACCTAATTTTTTGAAATGAAGCACTCTTAACCACTAATTACCTCTAAAATAGGAGTCCTACTAAATCTATATAAGGTACCAAAATACCATTTGAATTATGGTACAAATGCCAACCAAATTTATCTTACCTTAGAATATTTGGTTGCAAAGCTCATGTATTCATTCCTAAAGAAACAAAAAAAGAAGTTAGACTCTCATTCACAAGAAGCTATCTTTCTAGGCTATAGTGAAGAATCTAAAGCCTACAGACTTATGAATATATAAAATTAGCAAATTCTTATTTTCAAAGATATTCTCTTCAATGAGAATTTATATGATCTAAAAGCAAAATACTTGCTAAAGGACAATAAAGAGTTCTTACTAGACTTAGAATTATTTAATCACCCTATAACAACTATAAGATCCAATGAACAAAATATCCCTCTTATTCAATGACTCTCTTCACCACCAAGGCTATACCTCTACAACATCCATATATTTGATCAACATCCACTACATAGTACTTCTCAAAATGTGAGAGAACAACCTCCTTTTCACATTGATGTCATTCATAACTTCTCTCAACTATCATTACGTAATGATGATGAGATATTACTTCTTGAATATGATAAAGCCCATTTGACATTGCAAGATCTAAATCTTCCTTCTAGTTCTTAACCAACAAGAATTATTAAACCAACCACATGGTTGTTAGAATCTGTACAAGACAAAAAAGAGTATAAATGCCATTGTCATTGATATCATCAAGCCAACCTTATTTCTACCATCATAGAAGCTCCAAACTCCATTCAAGAAGAAATGAAAGAGAATAATGCTCAAGAATAGCAAAAAGAAATCAATGCTAAAATTATATCCTTAAACTAAAATAATATATAGCAAATGACAAATTTACTACCTAATAGAAAATCAATCAGTTCAAAATGGTTTTTTAAAATTAAAACTAAAGCTAATGGAAGTATTGACAAGTATAAAGTAAGGTTAGTTACAAGAGGTCTCACTTAAGTTCAAGGCATTGATTATACAAAAAAATTCTCTCTTGTTGTTGTATTACATGAAGTCTTGCTTGAGAATACACCAAGCACCTAGTTGTGGAAGGTAGAATAGAAATAGCAACAAAATTTTAATTCTAATAGAATACTAAATAAATTCCAATTGAATCTTAACAATGCTAAATAAGCTTTAATCAAATTCAAAAGAAAATTTTAAAAAATTACAAAAGAAACAATAAGAAATCTTAAAATAATTGAAAGAAATCCACAATAAACCTTAAAAGAATCCTTAAGAAGTCCTAAAAAATATTAGAATAATTACAAATATATCTTAAATAAATCTCAACCAAGTTCTAATTTAATCTTAGATAAAATCTTAATAAATTTAAATCAAACCCTAAAAAAATCCTAAATCAAATCCTAAATCCTAAATCAAAACCTAGACAAATCCTAAACCCTAAACCAAATCCTAACCAATTCAATCTAATCTTAGTACTATTTAGAATTTCAATATCTATCAATCAAATCATTGATTTTTTCTAAAAATTTTTATACTTCTCAAAAACTAAGTTGGTAATAAGCATAAAAAATTTGAAGATAATTGCACTTATTAAATGGAAGAAAAACCCTAAAATCCGCTCAAGTATTGGCCAGCCTCCTACTCCAATCTAAATGTTGAACTTCCAGCACTTATATCTCCTTATCAAACTATTCAATTGTTATCAAATTTCACATATGTATAGCAAATCAATTTTATCATCCTCAAATATGAATTTTATCTCAATCCAACAAGTAGATCACTAAAGATCTTAGAAATCCTAATTACCTCTTAAAGTTTAATTTCCGAGACCTCAATCTACTTGAAATTCAATATCCTTCAATTCAATCATTTGATTAAGCTCAAACTTGTAGCATACACTTTAGAAAACTAATTTCACAAGTAATCAAAACTTGAACTATAGATCTACTACCAAACTCACAAAATTCTCCAAAATATATCATCCTTTTTATTTCATAATTTTCAAAGTTTTCTAAAAAAATTGTGACTTTGTAAAGCTCTTGTAAAGTCAGTACACATTTAATTCCCTCAAAATCAATACTTAAAGAAATTCTATCAAGTTTTTTCATAAATCCTACTCTTTGATCTGCCAAAGAATCCTTTAATTACCATCCATGCCTAGTTTTGTGCCTTGGGTCTGATTTTGACCTAGGTTGATAACCGGTCCACTTTGGGTATCAAATTTTGCCCTTTTGAGTTAATTTTTATTTAAATCAACTCCTAACTTCTTTCTTCATATGCTAATATTCTTTATTTTTCCAATCTATCTTATTTTGCCTTATTTATGGCCTTACAAAATAAGTAGAAGCCTACTTTGTAAAAAGATAGCATTTAAACCTTTAGTTCTACTTTCTTTTGGATTATTGTCTATTTTCTAAGATAATTTGCTACAATATTTGAAGTATGAGATTTTATAATATAATAGATTTTTCATCCCTTTTACCTATTATGCATGTTAGATCACAACATTGTAACCAAACTTAACTCCATCAAAGTTCTTCTTACCTTAGCTACTCAACATAATCTGGAAATACACAAATTAGATGTTAAAATAATATTTTTAAATGGTTTTTTGGAAGAACATATCTATATTACTATTCCAAAAGAATTACCTTCTATACATCTTTATAAGGTATATAAGTTAAATAAATCCTTTTATGGACTTAAATAATCTTTTAGAACTTGGTATCAAAGATTAGATCAATACTTACTTCTTCATAAATATCAACATCTAGAATAAGATGCAAACATTTACATCAAAAGAAAAAATGAAAAAAGATTTTACCATAATCATAATCTATGTTGATGACTATATCATTATCAATAATAAAATTTCTTTAATTCAGCAAGCAAAGGATATTTTACAACAAGAATTTGATATATCGCATGAAAGAAAAATCCATTAAACTCTAAGCAATGCTATTTTCAAAAATCGAGAAGAAGGATGGATAACCCTATATTAAGGCAAATATTTAATAAATAAACTTCATAAATTTAATATGTTGAATTCTAATCTATTAAATATCCCAATTCAATCAAGAATTTGTTTGAGTAATGAAGACCATATTACTTTCCAAGATTATTCCTATTCTCAAGTTGTTGAAAGTTTAATGCATGTTATTGTTAATTTCAAACCACATTGTGCTTATGCTATCAGTAGTTTAGTCCAATATCTTTCTAAACCAGGCTCTACACACATTCAAACTTTGAAAAGAACTACATGATATATAAAAGGCACATTAAATTTTAGAATTAAATATTAATACTTACCTCACAATGATATTGTTCATAGTTATTTTGTTGCTGATTGGGCAGGTGACAAGGATACTCATTGTTCCACCTTTAGCTTTTGCTTCTTACTAGCTGGAAGA